TGACGGTTGTGTCATCATGGGTGGAGTGGTTCAGGAGGGCGCCGGCTGTGTGTCTGTTCTGACAATTGTCTCTTCATGGGTGGAGGCCTGGTTTGTGTCAGCATAACTTCAGCCTGGGAGCACTGGGCTAAGTGTTCCTAACTCCCCCTCAGCGGGAATATTCTGCAGCTGGGTTGCTCTATCTGTTTTGTTTGAAAATTGGCCTGTGGAATTTCTAAGCATGTCCCTAATTAGATGGGTGAGCACTGTGTACAGGAGTGCCTGGTGGGAAAGGGAGCCATGAGGAATTTCACCACGTGCTTCAAGGCCAAAGCAAGAAAGGGAGGGAAATGCTCCAAGTGCATGTAAGGCTGGCACACACAGGATACACAGTGACAACGTGCCTCATGGAGAGGACACCGGGCCGGGTCATGTGACGACATGCTTCATGGAGAAGATGCCGGGCAGGGACACGTGGTGACAACGTGCCTCATGGAGAGGACACCGGGCCGGGACACGTGGTGACGACATGCTTCATGGAGAAGATGCCGGGCAGGGACACGTGGTGATGACAATGCTTCATGGAGAAGACGCCAGGCAGGGACACGTGGCGACAACGTGCCTCATGGAGAAGACACTGGGCAGGGACATGCAGTGACAACACGCCTCATGGAGAAAACTCACATGTGGATGCGCATTGTGTGGGCAGCTGTGGGTTCAGCATTAATAACTCAGCCACGTACATTAAATGAGTCATAAGACAAGGTTACACGTCGATCAGTTGACAGAAGCGTGGTGTCCACAGGCTCACAGGAGCCTTGCCCTCTGCTTCTCCTGGGAACACTGGCTCGGTCAGTGTCTGCTGCCGATGACTTTAGAGAACGTGGCCCCCTGGAAGAATGAGAACTGACTGTAGTGTGGCCTCAGTAATTATTTGCTACATCTGGATGAAACTCCGAAAGTCAAAACTAGCATCTGTTTCTTTGTTAACCTAGATACCTCCGTGTAACTTAATGCCCAGCTCTCTTTATGTCTGCGTGGATAATTTCTGCCCAGTCTTAATCCTCATTCTTTGCTGCCGCGTTAACCATAGTAGAGCTGGTATGTGTGTGACACAGATGCCTGGCACGCCCTGCGTGACAAATGCCACCTGTCAGGAAGCACCTTGCTCACGAAAAGCTTGTTTTCTCCCCGAGAGCTTTATATTAGGTGCTCTACTTGCTCCTAAGAGACTCTGTAAGGCTCTAGGCATCTCTGTTTTACTTTTTATTTCCTGATTAAATACAGAAATTCCCCTTTTTATGCCAGCAATATGCACAGGGGATTTATTCAGCTTTCCCCAAACGTCTAAAGAGCCAGAAAGCTAAACAAGATGGCAGAGACAACCAGGGCTCCCTGGTGCTAGAAAGAAAGTGGTGGGACTGCTGGCCCCCCTCCCTGGAAGCCTCTTGTGGTGGGATTGCTGGCCTCCCTCCTGGAAGGCTCTCGTGGTGGGACTGCAGGCCCCCTCCCTGGAAGGCTCTCGTGGTGGGACTGCTGGGCTCCATCCC